ATTGGAAATGTCCCTGTTTACATGTTGGTGTTATTGCCCATTCTGCAATGGCTCTTTAATAAATATGGACGTAGAATCTCATGCAGCTGCGGCAGTTTTTTATTGTACATTACGTTTAATAATTTAAAGTGCTTTAATTAATTTCCTATTAATTTAATAAATATATTTGTTAAATACCTAATTAATTGCTTCTATATATTTTTTTAAATTAATTTATTTCTTATTACTTTAAAAAAAATATAATCTCACACGCGACAGTACTATCTTTACTGACGACTGACACCAAAGACCAAACTGAATGTGGATGCGGAGACAACGTTTAAACGCACTTTGCGGAGTCAGCGGCGTGCGCCAAGATCTTTTGATTGGCAACATTGGCTTGGCCGGCCCTTGTAGGCGCCTACTACCAACATAGGGCCAAGTAGGTGTCTACCAATACCTTGGTCCGATGTGTACAGCCGCCTTTACGAGCGAGGCTACCACAGACTCAATCCTCCTTACTGCTAATACTCACATAGTTAAGTCACATCCTCTGGTGTTGCGGGCGTACAATTTGTCTATATGGGTGCCCATATGGATGTTATGCAGTGGCAAACTTTAGATCTACTGAATGTTTTACTATTAACAGAAATTATAGTGCACACGTGTACATAAACTACATAGGTGCATGTTTTTCTATAACACGGCGTAACACAGACACGTAAGCCTCGATACCGTAAGTCAGGATAAAAGTTAGCCTACTTATGGTACTTGCTGAAAATTTAAGATTTAAGTATAGCATTTATAGGGTTTAAGATTCTTTCAAATCGACTAATTGTCTTTATGCAGGTAGTAATAATAAAGCGTCTTTGTTACAAAGTTTCCACTTTATGTTTATAGAGAACACTACTTGTGTGACTACTAGATGGTTTTCTACTCCAGGGTAGGAATCATTCGACCTGTAACAAGTGGGAGCAGTAAATCTCAAGCAAGCTTGCATACTTATCACTGGTTCGGTATGGAGATGGTGATAATTGGTAAATACAAATATATGTGTCCCAGTATGCGGCTAAGTCCGCGTGGCGGCGCTCCAGGTATCGATCGGTTGCACCGGCTCACAAAGGGCCGCGCCGCCACCCGCCGCCGCGCGCCGCCCTGCGCTCCCCGAGCCGCGTCGCTAACGCCGCGCGCCGCGCCGCCGGCTGCCGGCCGGCTGTCCTCCTTGTTTACAAAGTTTGACGATGCAAGTCTCTAGTTTCTAGTATTTCTACTGCCGGCGTCAGTAGTCAGTTAAGATCAGTTTTACATCAAGTAGTCAGTGTTGTCATCGTAAAATCTATCGCTGTGCTGACCGACCGGGGCGGCGGCCTAAAAATGAAAAAGTATTTCAAACTTAACCAATTAATAACTTTATAAAAATTCAATAAATAGTTTTGTTTTGTCATAATATCAAAAACTTTTTTTATATATCTGATGGGGCCGACGTTTGGCCACTATTTCACCTGGTGGTAAGAGATGATGCGGCCTACGATGGAGTATGTCTGCCCATAAACAACCCATTCACTCGGGCCTTGAAGACATCCTCCAGGACACACAGACTCTGAATAACATTTTCACTCTAGCAGTACTAACAAGGATGCTTGATGCGAACTATACGTTTCTATGAATTTTCGTCACAAAATTTTCTTCTTTTCTATATAATTATTTGTATTCTCTTCCGAAGTCAAGGGTTCATGAAAACCTTTTATTGTAAATATTGTAATCAATCGGGGTCCGTGTTGTCGCGAGAGTCCTCGTATGGGACTGAGAGCACTAGACGCGGAGAGCGCGGTCGCCCCTCAGCGGGAAAATATTCAGCTCTTGGCCTCTTGTAACGATATCTCGATATAATGAGCTGCTCAGCCGGCCGCTACCGCCACCACCGCCCACCCTCGTCATAGGTCCAACAAGTGGCACTTGACTTATTTCTTTAGATTTGTTTTAGGAAAACAATTCTGTGACAGAACGGTTATTTTATACGGTTATGTCATTTTTGTTAAGCATACGTTACTCCCACAAGACGTGTGCCCATGCCCAAGCCAAGAGTAGTTATTTCAAATATTATAGAGGGCGGAAACTTACTTGTTTATATGTACCGATTGGGCTCCACAAAGTAGTTTTCTTACCTTGTCAATGCGTTATGTTTATGTACCTACCTACCACAATTTGAACAATGACAGCCACCCATACATTAATTTAGCTGAGATTAAACTCTTGCGTCTTTAAATGAAAAATATATATTGTTAAACTAGGCGTCAACTTCTTGGGGAAGTCCCCGTCATCCCGTTGTAAAGGACCCGAGACGGTGGCGCGCGTTGTGTCCACGCGCGCCTCCGAGACGTTGCACGGAGAAGACCAACACCTCACTTCTCCGTGCATCTTGAGGTGGGGCCTGGCAAGGCAGGCCGCCACGAGTTCGGGGGCTGCGGATGAATGTGACTCCCGCACCCTCGTACCCACGTGTGAGACGGGACACCGGGGTGGGTTTTAGTCAGTAAGAGTCTGACAGTCCCTTTCGTCCTCCCCAGGCGAGGGGGCTCCATGAGGATTTCCCACCTTGGGGTTAAAAAAAAAAAAAAAAAAAAAAAAAAAGGCGTCAACTTCTGAATTAGTTGGTGCAAGAATTTTTGTTCGAGAAAGCCGGAATTAATAAAAATACAGTCGTGAACTTTTGTAGGTTATGTCATTGGTAATTTCAATTCGAAGTTAAAAGAGCAATATTGCATTAATATTTCTAAAAGGTATAAATATGTTTGGTAGGCCTTACCTTCGGTATACTTGCTACATGACTGGACAATAGGACTGAGAATGCCAGTCACCGTCTGCATTATTTTAGGTAATGAAGGATTAGGGTTGAGGTACTCACCCAGGCGGGAGCAGTCATTCGATGATTTTCCCCCCTTAAAAAAAAAAAAAAAGGGTTGAGGTAGTATTCTGGGATTTTATAAATACCTACTTGCTAACATTTAGATAAATAGTCTTTTTGTCCGTCATTAATTGAAAGTAATTCATTATTTTATTTTTACACTGCCATATTTTTACTACCTTGTAAAGAACACTTCCACTTAGAAATAAACAGTATTGTTAATTCATTTACTCCATTTAATTATAATAACAAACAAAAACTGAATTTAATACAATAATGCTGTACTTGCTGTCACTTGGCAGAAAAATAACTTTTTATTTCAAATATATTTTTTATTACGCTTTGACTAGTTAATTAACTTTGAAAAACCGTAGAAAAATTATAGAATTACCTTCGTATATAAATCACTTTTATACGCTCTAATAAATTTCAGCTATGATTTCGCCATTGTTCTTTATACAAATTAGGCACATTAAAGAGGAAAACTAATAAAACATTAAAATAGATATAAATGTAGGTCTAGGTAGTTATTAAGGAAATGGAATTCCTATCTACATAGGTACTAAGTAATTTTAATCGGTCGCTTCACTGGGATTTTTAATGTGGGAATAAAGTATGATTGTATGAAATTCTTGAGTAGTAGACCAGTAATTATATTTGGCAGTGAAACGTAATATTGCCGTGGAAACATTGGCTGTCGAGGTCGCCGCTGATATTCTTTAATTATGAAACGCAAATAAATTACTGGTCAGTGGTTACAGCACAGCCAGTACACGTGCGCTTCGCCTGGGTGTGCTTCGTTTGGATGCACTTCGTGGAATACCTCACAGCATTACAGCAACGGATTATGTTTGGCGAGTAGTTAGGGCGGGCAGCAGAGCGAGGCGCATGCGCACGGCCAAGGTCCTTACATCATACATACGCACGCACCGTAACATGAAAATGTGCTGTTATTAGCCTTTGTCTAATGCGATATCTAGGTTAACAAATACATACTACATAAATACGAAAACAATACTTTCCCTTATTTTAACTTGCGTGACAATCACAGTTGCTTATTGTGGGTTATTGTATCAGTAATCAGTTACATGTAGGTACATAGCTGTACCATTGTTCATCTTAACCAATATCTACCTTCGTGTTTTGAAATATATTACCTAATGTAAAATATTTAATGTTTCAAAGAGTTGTTTATCATTTTGAAATATAAAAAAATGCTACTCCTGCGCTGTTTCATCCGTTGCTCGGCTCCTATTGATCTAAGTATGATGTCTTATAACATTCCTTGATAAAAGGGACTATCCAACATAAGGAATTTAGAAAAAATATTTCTGATACCGTGTGTAGGTATGTGTGTGTGTGTGTGTGTGTGTGTGTGTGTGTGTGTGGTTCAGTTCTAAGTTGGTTGTGGCACTGACAAGGGGGGAGACGTAGTAACGGGTAGTTGTATAAGAGGAAGTATGTTGACCCTGTGCCGGAGGCTGGGCCAGCGCAGCGGCGCGCGGACAAGATCACTGCACTCACGGTGACACGCACGCCGCGTGCCCGCTCGCTGTGACCATGTCACTCCGCACCGGAACTAATGGCACCTCTTACAACTCGTACACTTATAAACTCGACTCACTATTACACTCCTTAATTACTTTACACACACTAATACCAGCATTCATTTTATTTATTTTGTCGCAAAACATTCGTTTAAAGTAGGACAAGGCACAAGAGTTTGATTAAACTGATCGTAACAGTACATTCATAACCAGACTAATAAATTGGTCTAACTAAACAGGTCATCACCGTATTCATAGAGACATGTACCAACTTATTTAAGACCTTACTACTCTTAGAATAAGTTTTGAGTTTGACCAGCCCATTCGTTTAAGGGCATTATGATTGTGGGGCTTGATTAGATGCAATTGAAGAATAAATGTTACACTGGCCAGTTGCGGATACTCAATAGGTACTAATTATAATAAAATTCTATGACTTTTTGGGTACCTACATAGAAGATGTTATAGGTTCCAATCCAATTATAGTAATTGATTATTAATTACATCAATTCAATAATTTCGGCTGTAAGTGGTCCATTCGTGTGATGGTGAGTGTTGGTGTGTTGCAGGCATAGTGTCGGTGTCGGACGGGCACCTGTACGTGGCGCCGCTGAAGGACGAGTGGCGCACGCTGCTGGCGCACTACGCGGGCCCGGTCGCCTTCATCGTCGTCGCGGTGCTGCTCATCGTCGTTCTGCCGCTGACGGGGTACTGTATCCCAGCAGTGACTGCCGCCGCGTGCTGTGAGTGTCGCTGAGCCAGCCTTGTGGTGTTGCAGGCTGTTCTGGTGCTGCTGCTACTGGTGCCGCGCGAGACGGCGGCGGCGCCCGTTCGACCGCAAGTACGACGCCTGCCTCAAGGGAGTGCTCGCCATCATACTCATCGCATTGCTGACTCTCTTCTTGTAAGACTTCATGATAATGTATTTAATTTAATATTGCTGTGCACGTGTACTGCTAGGATCAATCTATAAATACAAATGTTTTGTCTCCTGTCTGACAAAATCACACTAAGTACCAAAGAAACAACACAAGGTACTGGTTGCAAATGTGATTCCTGAACAATAGGTCTGGTGTGGGGAAAAGCTGTATAAAAATAAATACTGTAAAGTAAAGTAAGTGTAAATGGCAACAATCTCCTAATTTCAAGGTAACACTTAAACATTGAAGTGAAGTATTACCTTGAAGGAGCTAGATTTTAACATAAACGATGCTACATGCCACAACGTACGTAATGTAAAGCAAACCGCTACGTTTACTTGTCATATAATATTTGTGATGCGATCGTAACACTCACATAACATTTCAGTGTGTGAAACCTGGACGTGGACCATGACACTGTTGAATTTATTTCCATGTTCTCAACTCTCGCAAAGTTCCGATTACATTTAACATAATTCTCATAACAATCGTAAAGACAGTATTCACGACACACATGACTTCCGCATGCGACTTTTCTTGCGTGGAATTAAGAAAGGTTTCTCTTGAGTAGGTTTTAGACTAGTGTAGTGTGTATTATTATATTACTTCCTGCAAAATCAATTTCCTAATGATTTTAAACCGGTTCAGTAGTTTAAGTGCCTATTTTGAACAAACAAATATTTCCTCCTTGTACCTAATTTTATTTTGAACGTGCATGTAACGTGTGACGTGTATTGAACAAGTGCGTGGCGCAGGTTCGGCGTGGTGTGTGCGTTCGCGACGGAGTCGCAGGTGGAGACGGGCGCGGCCGGCCTGTCGCAGTCGCTGGACGCCGGCATCAACGACACGCAGGAGTTCCTCAACGCCACGCAGGCGCATGCGCGTTGGCTGCTCGTCAACAACTTCAACGAACTGAAAATCAAACTTAATTCTATGCTTTATGGTAACTATACTCGTTATACATAACTAGCCCCGCCTTCGCCGTGGGATACAAATTAGCCTCTGTGTTATTCCAGACCATAATCTACCCCTGTTCCAAATTTAATCTCTTATCTCTTCAGCCGTTTTGACGTGATGGAGTAACAGACAAACATACAAACTTTTAGATTTATAATATTAGTAGGATGTACCAGTTTGGGCTTTACCTCGGTATTAATAATTTATCATAATGACATCGATTATCAATTACCTTGACATAAATTCGTAAGTGTATACACTTAATGCATTCCATTGAATGATACTTGAAGAAATTAAAGAGTTGCTGAAAGACTTGCTCTGTTTTGCTCGATAATTGCTCGACCGAATGATGCCACGTCCTTACAGAAAACCGGTGTAATACAACGATCGCGTTGTCTTTCGTCGTATGAAGTTGCCGGATGCCCAGTTCCCCCATCCACAATCCCCAGTTACTACGGCAACGCACTTGTAACGCCTGTAGTGTTACGAGTGTCCATTGCGGCGCCGATTGCTTACCATCAATTCATCCGTTAGGTCGATTGCCCCCTTATGGCATAAGAAAGTAGAGGGAAACTTAATTAAGTCTTTAATTTGTACGTGTAACAGGTATCGGCGTGACGGCGTCAGTGAAGCTGGGCGAGTTCTCCCGCGCGGTGTCGGTGACGACGCTCAACAAGATGGTGCAGCAACTGGACGAGGTGCAGGCCAACCTACGCACCGTACATGTCCTCACCGCACAACTGCGGCTCAAGGCGGACCATCTGAACACAGGTACACACACACACACACACACACACCACACACACACACACACACACACACACGCCGTAGTGTGTACTACGGCTCAAGGCGGACCATCTCAACACAGGTACACACACACGCACACACACATACACACACACACACACACACACATACACACACGCCGTAGTGTGTACTACGGCTCAAGGCGGACCATCTCAACACAGGTACACACACACGCACACACACATACACACACACACACACACACACACACACACATACACACACGCCGTAGTGTGTACTACGGCTCAAGGCGGACCATCTCAACACAGGTACACACACACGCACACACACATACACACACACACACACACATACACACACGCCGTAGTGTGTACTACGGCTCAAGGCGGACCATCTCAACACAGGTACACACACACGCACACACACATACACACACACACACACACACATACACACACACACACACACACATACACACACGCCGTAGTGTGTACTACGGCTCAAGGCGGACCAAGGTCCAGGTTTACCAGAGAATGCTTCTATCCGGTCTCTGTGAAATGTGTGGTCCCTGCGAGACCCGTGGGAACAGTACGTGACTAGGTATATGTCTTTGGTTACGCATTAAAATTATTTTCATTTCATTTCACTCAATCAATTAGTTCTGCTTATACATAATGACTTTCCTGTTTGTCTGACTAATTTATAAGAAGTGAGTGACCTAGTTGACGTAAAATAAATTATGACCTCATTGTGTTTTTGTGTCAACCACTATCTCTCTCTACAATATTCATTTAAAATTATCTTTTACGTTAGTTTTGGCTAACACGGAATATCTGTTTTGTAAATATTTAGGGAATAAACAAAACTTTAATTATTTTATGTTATAATGTTTGTGCTTTGTGCGAACCAAAACAGGATAAATGTATAAAAAACACAGTAGTTTATTTGCATACTTTTCCTCTACTCATATCTGAAGTGGAATTGAAACTGGTAAAACCCCATGGCCTGTTTTGAAGAGGAATTACCATTTAAAGTGATTTAAAAGATATTATTGTGCTATCATCAATATGGAATTATCTGGAAAGCTGCGGTGGCAATATAGAACGTTTCAATTAACCACACGTTATCTAGGTACATATACCATATTTCGTTATCCGTCTCGTTTGCGAACAATTTCTGAAACCATGTGTGTAGGATGCATCAACACAACACTTACCGCCAATGCTCAGTACTCAGATATTTTAACAAAATTCGTCATTTCAACACGATCCCATCGTTGGTAATCTACTACATGTACGTATATTGGTCGAACATTGGCTGATTAGCTAGTCAAGTTAATTAATGAGATAGAGTTATAAACATATTCATGCATAATGTATTTGATGATAATATATTATTTTTACCGACTTCATAATTCAATTAATCAGATTAGACTTTAAGGAAAGTCAATCATTCTTTTGTCATTATGTTTTTCTTTTTTTTTCTCTATGGCATAAGCCAGTAAACGAACAGACGGATCACCTTATGGTAAGCAATCGGCGTCGCCCATGGAACACCTGGAACACCTACGTACGCACCTACCTAGGTACGAACCACATATGTACGACATTGCCTTTCTTTGCCATTTACGCAGTGTCATAGTAACGCAATTGTGACGTCATTATATTAGGAGAATACTAAACTTGTCAAAATCAGTAGTCATGACATAATGTTACACAATTTTGCAAGTAATGTAATCAAAAGAGTGCCAGACATGCAGTAATGCAGCTAGTGACAGTAGGAGTAGTGGCTGACTTGACGCGTGTGTCTGTGCCAGGCCTCCGCAAGGTGAAGAACCAGTTGCTGCAGACCCTGGCCAAGTGCGACCAGCCCAAGTGCCGCGCCCTGCAGGACAAGTACAAGATCGGACAGCTCGACACCGAGATACAGTACAGCCAGGTACCCTACACACAGTGCCCACACGTCTCATGTCCTTGTTTCCCCTGTCCGTATACTAACTATATCCCCGTCATGTTTCACGCTGACTGGGACAGATGCTCGACAAATATTTTCCTACTGTAAGTACTTGTTATGATTATTGTAAGAGGTATGATATTATGTTTATAAATAGGTGGTTAAATCATTTTCTTATTAATTAGAAAGTACCTGACTGTTATCAGTGATAATAAGGATTGTTGTTGATTCGAATGTTACATGACTCAAGTGTATGAGGAGCTTAAAATTAAAGTATTTTCTGCGATCATAATTATTGTGAAACACATTCAGGATAATTATGTCAAAATTTAGGATTTCAGTTAGGTACGTAAAAACATATAAACAACACACAAGTAACTATGAACCAATATGGTTTTTATACGTATCAAAAGAATGATGGCATGTTTTATAGAACCTTACTCTTTTACATTCTTAGCATTGATGGTAATTGGTAAGTCTTTAGATGATAATGTTATTAATGGAGTTAGAGTTATATTCAGAAGTATTCAATAGTCTGAATAATAGCCTCCGCCGAGGCAGGCGTGTAGTAACGGGCACACGTGACAGATGCCGGACGTGACGGAGCTGCTGGGCAACGTGACCGCGCTGCTGGACAGCGACATCAAGGGCGAGGTGGCGGCCGGCCAGCAGGTGTTCAGCGACATCCAGCGCGGCATCCAGCGCTCCGTGGACAAGCACGTGCCCGACGTGGCCGACGGCATCGAGGCGCTGGGCCGCCAGCTGGGCGCCGTGGCCGACGACATCACGTGGATGGCCGGCAACGCCAGCGCGCGCCTGGACGCGGCGCGCGGCCCGGCCGCCGCGCCCGCGCGCCTGCACGCGCGCTGGGGCCCGTACCGCCGCGCCGCGGGGCTGGGCGCCGCCGCCGCGCTGCTGCTGGTCACGGGCCTGGCGGCCTGGGGCCTGCTGTGCGGCGTCTGCGGCAAGCGCCCCGACGTCTACGGCGCCAGCGACTGCTGCAACAAGGGCCACGGCGCGCGCAGTCTGCTCTGGTACGGCACCGACACTCGACGCCGCGCCCGCGGGGAGACAGCGTCACTCAGCTACATGTTTGTCCCGCAGCGGTATGGGCGCCATGTTCGTGCTGGGCAGCGGGGTGACGCTGGTGCTGCTGGTGTACTTCGTGCTGGGGCTGGCCGCGCAGCGCTTCGTCTGCGACCCACTCACGTGAGCACGCACATACATCGTTTGGAGCGGATTAGGGACGAACTTGTTCCAAAAACATCGTCATTCTTATTTCCTCTCGTAATAATAATATGTTCCCAGCCAGCTCCAACTGTGTTGTACATAATTATAGTTTTTTTAGTAGAAAGTATTATTTGCTAAAGTATTATGTGCTTTGAAGTATTTATACTACGGTCCATGCTATACTATTAAGGTCCCTTTTCACCAACGAAACTGATCACGATTACACCTAACAAAACTGATTTAAAGCGTCTAATCGAATTTAAAGCGTTTAAACGAAGTTACAGCTTCATTTTACATTTCACCGCTACAAACAGAAACTAGTTTACACGGAACTCAGTACAGAAAACACAGAACACAGAACTTAGGTTACTTTAAACTTAGGTTACGTGTAACTGAGTTTTTACAGAGCTTGGTGAAAACGGACCTTAGTGACAGACTAAACAGTCAGGAATGTTAGTAATATATAAACGTTTTATTTTTTACAAAATGAAATTAATGAAAGGTTAAGACAATCGACATTTATGAAGATCTAGCTTCTGCCCGTGACTTCGTACGCGCAATCCCGTTCTTTCCCGTTCCCGTTCCCGATTTTCGGTAAAAAGTAAAGAAAAATTCGATGAAAAAGCATCCTATGTTCGTCTCCTGGTTCTAATCTATCTCACCACCAATTGTCATTCAAATCGATGTAGCCGTTCGTGAGTTATAAGTAGTGTAACTAACACAACTTTCCTTGTGTGTATATATATACTGTATAGATTAATGAAAGTGTATAAAAATATTTTGGCAGTAATATAATTATGAAGAATTTGAAAGAATATTCGCGTGGTATAGATGTAAGCAGTGTAACGCTCATAAAATTATATCGGTTACGCAGGGAGCCGCGCGATAACCGCGTGTTCTCGGACCTGGAGCAGGTGGTGGACCTGGAGGGCACACTCTTCGGGAACCATCAGGACCCGGACTTCAACATGACATACGCACTCGTGCGCTGCCACAAGAACTACACCGTGTACGAGGTACGCTATCGGTCGGTCCCGCGCCGCGCGGAGAGTGGTAGAGAGAGTAATGGTGGTGTCCCGCAGACGCTGCAGCTGCAGCGCCTGCTGAACGTGTCTGCGCAGCGCGGCGCCGTGCGCGCGCAGGTGGCGGGGCGCCTGCAGCGCCTGCAGCCGCTGCTGCCGCGCGCGCAGCCCGTGTCCATCCTGCGCCCCGCCGCGCGCGACAAGCTGCGCCGCCTGGCCGACACCGGCCTGTCCGACTTCCAGTTCGAGCGCATCCTGGCCGCGCTGGAGACCAACATGACGTCGCTGGCGCTGGACTCGCTGGCGCGCCAGCTCAACTCCACGGCGCGCAGCCTGCAGCAGCCGCTGTTCCAGGCGGAGGCCGCGTCGTTGCTGCGGGCCTCGGCCGCGCTCACCGAGCTGCTGCACGACGTGCTGGAGCCCATGCTGCAGGACTCCGCACAGCTCAATGTCAGTGGCATGCGTCGATCCATACTATATTTTATTCCCTGCATAACATACATGTTTTGACTTTGACTGTTGACTACCTCATTGGCCGAGTGGTCACAAATACGACTGCCGAGCAAGGGGTCTTGACGTAGATTTTTGGGTCGGGCAAAGTGTTACTGGGTAAAAAAAATCTCAGTAGCAGCATGGAGTCTGGAAATGTGCTCGGTATGTGGCAATAGGCTCTCCTTATTATATGGGACTCATAACATAGGTAAATAGTGAAAAGTGAGTGTAACACTGTACAATGGCATAATGTGTACCTCTGTCTACCCTTTAGGGGATAAAAGGTGTGATGTTTTATGCACTAGTACATTTATTAATAAATTAAACAGTTGTGGCATATGTAATAGATTGTAAAAGGGAATAATTACTTCGTAATATGAAATTTTCCGCACATTAAAAATGTTGTCATTTAATAGTAAAAATTTAGTGTGCATGTCTAGATCGACATTGATTATTAAATAAATAAATAAATAAAAAATAAAAAAAAAAAAATAAAAAAGCCTTTTATTTCTTGCTATAAAAATAAAAACAAAAAAAAATACATTGAAAACTAAGTATCCGTTAGTTACAAAAAGTCTTTCTTCTTTCCTCCTTTTCTTTCAAGAACCCCTCTCTTGGAAGGTAAAGGCCTCCTCCAGAGATAGCCAGTGATTTCTATCTTCTGCTATTCGCATCCAGTTTTTTCCTGCTATTTTTAAGATGTCGTCTGTCCAGCGTGCATTTGGTTTACCCTTTCTTCTTTGACCTGAAGGTCCTAACCATGATGTTGTTTTTCTTGTCCAGCGGTTGTCACTGAGTCTAGCTACATGTCCTGCCCATCGCCATTTTAATTTCTGTGCGTAACTGAGGGCATCGATGACTTTAGTTTTCTGTCTGATGTCTATATGGCGGATTTTTTGGATTTTTCTAATTTTCAGAATGCTTCTCTCCATACTTCTTTGAGTTGTTAAAATCTTGTTTTTTATTTTCGTTGTAAATTTCCATGTTTGACAGGCATAAGTTAGAGAGGGTAGTAGGCAGGTATTCATGACTTTGCTTTTCAGCTTTATGGTCATATCGCTTTTCAGAATTTCCTTAAGACTCCAGAATTTTTTCCAAGTGATGTTGACTCTTCTCTCTACCTCTCTTGCGTTATTGTGTGGGTTGAATGACATTGATTATTAGATTATTTAAAACTGTTTTCAGATTACCGCTACGAAGCTACGGGACGGTCTTAGGTTCAACCACTCATCGCTGAAGGATGCCATCACATACCTGATGCACGAGACTAGCGAGGCGGAGGTGTTCCTCAACACGCAGGGACCCGAACGACTAGAGAACGTAAGTGTAGACTGCGGGCGCGGCGGCGCGGCGGCGCGGAGCGGACGGTCAGTAACGAGGGTCGCGCGCAGATGACGGCGGAGCTGGGCGAGGCGGTGGCGCGCAAGCTGGAGCAGTACATGGTGCGGCTGGAGCGCGGCGCGCGCCTGGACGTGGGCCGCTGCGGGCCGCTGTCGCGCGCCTTCAACGCCACGCGCGACGCCGCGTGCCGCGCCGCGCTGCAGCCGGCGCACGGCTACTGGCTGGCGCTGGCGTGGTGCGTGCTGCTGTTCGCGCCGCTGCTGGCCGCCAGCGCGCGCCTGGCGCGCCTCTACCGCCACGTCGACCCCTACCCCGGCCCGCTCGTCGAGGCGTGAGTATCGCAGCCACCCCCTCCTACGTTCCTGCATATTTTATTTACGTATCTTTCAAATATTACAAAGCCAAAAAAACTTTGCTCGCTAAAAATTACGCGACAACCAGAACACTTTTTCAACCAATTCGGTCAAATCCGACGACTTAAACCAATTGCAATTCCCACACAATTTAGCCAACTGTACAAACACAAACGACAACTATTCACCAAATTAATTTTACAACTACGGCCGATTGTTTGATCCGATCAAAAAAATCGGCCCCACTTGTCGTAAATACAACATTTCATAAAACTGCACAAATAACTTATGCTCTCAAAATGCTACTACAAACTTTTATCATGTACACCGGCATAATGATACCTGCATCGTGTCTGCCTGTCCGTCCGTCTGTCTACTACTCGATCGAGCGCTGCGACGGCCACACAAACACTTTCAATAATGAACATACAACTTCCATACTTGATGAGACTACAGACCACAGTTCTACTTTTACAAAACTAACAACTGAATGATGACTTGTTAAAAAGTTTATAAGAAAACAAAGACCTCAAATTGAAATGTTATGCGCGTCCATACATTTCGATGATTCGTTTTTATTGGCACGCTATTATTTACTGACAGGCATCAAGTTTGAACAGTTGCCTTGCAATTCATAATGTTTGGAGCGAGCACTAACAAGGCTCGTATTACTTGTTATGTCAGTTATGTTGATTAGTCCACCACCAACATGACTCCCCTAGTAGGGTCACCGTCCGACTCCTGGCCGGGCACGTAGTACCCAGGTACTTGTGACCCCTCAGAGAGTCGATGAGATCATCCACCGCCCATCGACATGTTGTGGAATTGTCTGTAGTGCCTCACTCGATGCTCTACAGATGATTCCTCAGTTATTTTATTTCTGTTTCATTTCAATTAATTTTCTGTTCCGATTAATTTACTTTGTTTTCGTTTGAGAGCTGTGTTAACATTGATTTAACAGTTATTTACGTTGATTAGTCGGTGTGTCTGTCCGTTATGTTTGGGTTGGTAGTGCACCCCTCATGTTCCGCGCTGCGGTACTGCCGCGACACCCAGTCTGCCCACTCTTACACTACTTGCTATTTGTTGAACCTTTACTTTGGCCACCTCTTGTGCTATAATTCATATTGGACTAACGGAATACTTTGAAAAACAAAAATTAATTACATTGTGATTTTTAATACGGCCCATTTTTGATTATTTTGATTAATACAATTTATTTATATTGCCATTTAAAAGTGGTTCTGATTCCTACAACATGCAGTGCATACATATAGCATTTCAGTTTGTAATAGAGAATATGAGGGAATGTTCTTACTGTTTGCTAATGAATAGGACCCGCGGTCGAAGAGCTATCGCTGCGTCGCCACGCGGGCCGTACCCGGCAAAGTAATATAATATCTGAATAAGTAAATAATGATACATAACCGGTACAGAAGTCGCCGCCGTTTGATTATGTTTTGTTTGTCACCCACCGCCATGTAGCGGCTAGTAGCGAGCGTGTAGTTGTACCGTCTGTGAGCAGGACGGGTATGGGTCCCGAGGTAGGCATGCATCGCTATCGCATACATTGCTTGCAGTCGACGGTTCCGTGGTATCTCGCTACATTGTAACCCGCAGTGTAATTCGTGGAAATTAGTGTTCAGTTTTTTTGCATTGTTGTAAATATTCCCACTAGATATTGTGTGTGTCCGCCGCCAGACAAGTAGTGCCCGGCCGAGTCTCCCAGTAGCATGGGCCGCGCCGGCGCCGCCTCCATTCGGCCCGACCTCACTCTTAATTTATTTTTCTTTGTTTCGGTTTCGTTTACTTTATGTTCATCATCCAGTCACATTCTGCACAAGATATTAGATGTTACAGTAATGTATTTATTCGGCTATCCTATAACAACAGTCTACAGTAGCCATAAATATATACCAATACCTCGTTACCAATGTTTAGCTGTGACTCCAAATTCATATGAACTCATTAGAGTTCTATTTGTAAGTGGAATTGTTTCTGAATACATATATCATGGAGTTACTGGTTGGTAGCATCACGCGCCAGTCCGCGTATGTGTAGTATCTTGTGCGGCGGTAGCGAAGTTGTGAGGCGAGTCGCGCGGCGCTGACTGACTGTCTGTTGTCTGTTGCAGCGAGTATTTGTATGACGCGTACGCGGACCGCGATAACGTACCCCTTGCCAAGTAAGTGCCCCCCAACCCGCCTCCCCGCCTACACCCCACCCCCGCACGCTCCCTACACCGGCATGCTCGTCTGCATCATACAGCTTCTTACTTTCGGTTCTTTTCCTACTAACTTAGTGTGTGTAACTAGTGTATTGTGTAGTGGTGACTGGCCCCGTAGAGCAGTAATGTTACCTAGCACGACAGTGGTATGACGACTACCCGCGTGAGTACTAACCGCTAGAGCGACGCCTGCCCTGCTGCATGCTGCATGCCCGAGGGACAGACTGTAGCGTTATGTTTTGTTGGTTCAGTTCTTTTATTTAGTTGTATTATTTTAACGAAGGGGTGGCAGGATCTCTGTTTACCTCCGATCTTCTTTGGTGGATAAACTCGTGTCAAAGTCATGTCGAAGCAAGCAACCGAAGCGCGCGGCGCTGCCACACTAACCGTTCCGCGCAGCGGGTCCAAGCGCAGCACGCTCGACATCGAGGGCAAGATCGCCGAGTGGCGCGAGCGGAGCGCGCCCTCCGCCCCGCCCGCCGAGGGCCGCGGGGGCGCGGGGGGCGCGGGGGGCGCGCCCACGCGCCTCCTGCTGGCGGGCGACGACGTGGTGTGCCAGCTGGTGGCGCCGCCGGCGGCGCTGCTGGACGACCTGAAGACGCGCCTGGACGTCAAGGACGAGGACAACGAGTCCGGCATACACGACGCCGAGTAACCGCACTCGCGGCCACGCTGCCGTCTGCCGCCCGCCTTACTCGACTGACTTAGCCAAGTAACACGTAACTGTCGCACGGTAGTAACGTCCTATACTGCCGCGTCGGCTGGACGACTTCAATACAGCTAAGTTATTGTGTTGTACACGTGCTCTTTAGGTAACTATACAACAGCTAGGGCGAGTAGGTATATAGCTGGTCAACTTTGTTTCTTTAAACATTGTACCTAGGTATTGAAATGATCGTCCCCGCTGGGCACGGCAGCACTGGCGCGTGGCGTCGAGTAAGGCACTTTACTTAATTATTTAATCAGTTCGTTTAAGGATCCCACAGGGTTCATTTTAGCCAACAAATATGAAATTTGACCAATTTTCAGTAGTCATAAAATTATTCGATTTGTCTTCCGTCTTAGCAGTTTTATAAACATTTTACTAATTGTTTAACATTCTGAAGTTTGTACCATTGTACTTTTTAATACTTTGAATGCTGTTTAAAAGATCCACGGTTTTAAGGACACGTGGAATTTTGGCCACCAATAATGTTGTCCATTTTGTGAATTGATTCATATCAAACCTAATATCATTACGTAACTATTGTTATCTGTATGTCAGTACATATTATAGCATAGCTAGGCTTCGCTTCACAGCGATCGTTACGAACGAGAACGTCCATTCGTTAAGTATACAACCGCTTCTGCCTCGTCCCAGTACTAGGGCTGCCTGCGACAAACATTGAAGTCTGTACTGTGTCCAATGTATGTCCAAACAGCTGAACCTGTATACTATCGCAACGCTGGTACAAGTAATGATGATCTCTCTATTTTGTATGTGTCGTACTGTAGCCAGTAGCGTACTAGTGTAGCGAGCAGCGCCAGGAGCGCTCACATAGTCGGCATGTCGCCCTTGTACGCAGTGCAGGGTTTGGTGCTCAGCTAGTCATTTACTTTATAATCTATATCAAGCATCACGCTTTTGCAAAAAGCAACTTTCGCATATTAAGTAAGTAGGTAGAAATATAAAATTGTTAAACATTTTGATATTGTGAACTTCTCTTTACATATGCATTTTGATGAAATATTATATTCGGTAGGTTTTTATAAAATATTACATTTAAGAAGCATTTACCCAGGCGTATTGATATGTAATCTAGAATAATTGACGGATATCATAATCATTATACCGATGATATATAAATAAGAATATATATAATGGCAACGTGCGCACTGCCGGGAATAGAGTTGGTAGAGTGGCAGTGTCCCGGTACACGCCCGCGGGACGTGGCGCGCAGTGAGTGCGGTTGCTCGGCCGATGGCGCGGACTCGCCACGGTAACTTCACACTCCCCGATTGTTCTCGCTTTTACTTTTTTAATTTTCTTTTGTTGAAAGGTTACGTCTCTACCTTATGTACTATTCTCACTTTTGTAGTAGATCTGACCTGGTTGTACCTGTTGACTAGCCAATGTGAGACGTTCAATATATTATTCTTTTTATTTCGTTATTTCTTTTGCTGGGTGGATCCTTGTTACATAAAGTATACAAATGTACCGATTACTAGTTGGTTAATAATATACCAATGTCCGACGGTTACTCGATGTGGCTACATACAATATGTACTTGTAGCTGGTGTCGGTACGTTTGTATGCTCCCTAGGAATATAAGATTTGTCGTTCGCTTTGCATCTTAACAACAAGTCTCTGTTTTGTTGGCACTGGATACCTCATAACGACTTTATGGTAATCTTTTGTATTATAGCATAATCTATTCCTTACTTACAGCATGACTTGTCACTCATGTGACAGCTTTGACTTAGCTTGGCTTGTGTGAAATAACTAACTTATATGTGTGTGTACCTACGTATTTAAATTAATGCATCAATCTTTCCTTTTTATTTTTCACAATTGAATATTAAGTTTGTACATAAATGAAATTTAGTAAATGTTATCATCAAAATAATATTAGGTCTTTACCTATGATAAATACTTTTGTTTCTTATGTTATGAAATAATAATGAAAGCAGAACTAAATAATAAACAAATCAGGCTCTAAGAAAGTGTAATGTAAAATAAGAATTGTAAGTTTGGTAATAAAGCCCGGTATAATTAAGATAACAAGCGCCATTACTGCATGGAGCGTATAACATAACTGACGGAAAACATAATCACTTACACTTTTTAGTAACAAAAAGTGTTAAATACAGAAATTGTACGGTTTACTCTCATTTACTGTTCGAAAAAACTTGACTAGCCATTGTTAAGCCGTCCAAAAAAATAAAAACGGCTATGGTAATGGTAGATCAGCGTATGTAAAGGCCTATTATTTATAGAATATAAAACATTCATAGTAGTTTGTACAGTCGTTATATAAGTTGTATGAAACGTATCGCTAACGATCGTGCGTGTTGTAGCGCATACAAGGCAGAGAAGCGAAGCGGGCGCGAGGCACGAGACGGGCGCGAGGCGCGCGACGGGCGCGAGGCGCGCGAGGCGCGCGAGCCCCGCGAGCCCCGCGGCGCGCGCCCGCGCTCCGCCGCGCCGCTGGACGCGCGCGCCGTCCGCGCCGACGCCGCCCTGGCGCCGCCTCTCGACGCATACCACGCGCGCAGATATAATGATATGGCGCCAAAGTACGTATTACGTCACCTTTGTTGTGGGACTCCCGGCATGCACGCAACGCCGACACTAGTACTTGTCATCGCAACTTTAGTATGCGATAAACCTAAGAAAGCACAAATATTACTTGAACAGTTCCTGACTATTTCATTTCTCATTTGCACTGCTGACGTAATGTGTCGGTGTCGGTAGTACGAGTAGTAACCGAACGATCACTTTAAATCGTGTCTCGTACCTACATACAACGACGTCGGTGTGACTGGAGCTGACGGGGACTGTGTGTTGCAGGCACTGGGAAGAGGGACCTCCCCGCTACCTCGGCTCTACTGAGTACGAGCGACCCCCACCATACTACTATCCCGGACCAAAGTGAGTATATTCATTAGCACTCCCTGACGTGCACTGACCATATTTCGAGTTGTAGATGCAGTGGAGTTAATACGTTGCCTGTGTCGCAGCCGGGACCGCGCCCAGTCGCTGCCCGGGCGCGGCTGGAGCTGGGCCGAGTACTTGGCGGAGAGGTATACAGAGCGAGGGTCGTGTTGGTGTTGCTAGGCTCGGTGCTACGGTCGCAGTGTTGTCCGCTTCATACGGGTTGTTGTTTCATTACTGTACGCTGGTGTACCATATCTGCTCTCTGTGTTGTATGCTACAAGAGCTAGGTCGCGGTGTACTGTGAGGACGGTTGCACTCATGTCGTTGTTATATTTTAGTCCCGGCGCGAGACGGCGCACTTCGTTGAGAGATACGGACGCAGCGCAGCAGGGGCCGCGCAGACCGCCGGGGTTCAGCTGGGCGGAGTACTTGCGGACTAGGTACTGGCGAGTGGCCTGTTCTCACGGGCCGAGCAGATACATTGGGCTTTGGTTAAATAGATGGCAGCGGGGATGGCTTCATCATTCATAACCATCCGTTTAATTAATAATTGAATTAGTATCGTTAATACTACATCTATTTTATATTTTAGTCCGTCTACTCTACAGTCTACTGTAGGAGAGAGCAGCAAGGAGTCGTCGGAACAAGGTTCCAGTAAAGAGCCCCCGCGGAAGTGGGCGGAGTACCTCCGGTATAGTAGCTGGGCAGGGTGTGCCGTGCTGTCTGCTTACTCGATGGGATCATTTATTAGTAAATCCGTACATTCATCGTTGCTGATTTAAATTACTCTCATTTTAATTGATTTTTAGATCGCTCACATCGTATCGGATCTACTCGAATCTCGGTAGTGTAACATCAATGGGAAATATTTGCTTTGTAGTGTATTTATTTGTAATGTTTATACAGCGTGGTCGGACCAATTCAACCGAAACAAGTGAATGATGAGGTGAAGCCAGAGGCCCCGCCGCCGCGTCCCCCCGGCGGCGCCAGTAGCTGGGCGCAGTACTTGGCTGCTAGGTACTGTACTGCAGTCTGCTCGCTACGAGCGACTGTGGCATGCGCATATTATAGTACACTTGTTACATCTGTACTACTGAACATGTTTACAAATATTCATATCTAAAGGAGTCGGTAGCGAGACGATATATACGTGAAGTTTAATATTTTAGCCGAAGTCCGCCCCGGTTGGACCGCGAGCTGGGCGGCGAGCAGCCCCGCGGCCGGCGCTGGGCGCAGTACCTGCAGGCGAGGTACTGGCCGCTACTACAGTCTGTCAGCTTGTGTTTGCTACTCAGTGCCAAGTCTTTGACAATTGATCACATGTCTTATTCATTACACATTTGGATTAATTTTGTACCTGGTGTGGTGTATAGGTTCCATTGAAACTTGTGTCCCGAGGAGGAAGGCACACATACATAATGTTTGTCTGCACATACATAATATGGTGTCGGTGATATAGGTCCAGGTCGCAGTAGGGGGTCACTGGTCGACAGTCGCCGGTATCTCCAGCAGGACGCATCACTTATCATGGTCGGTAGTAATGGTTTATATTGTTTGTCAGGAATATTGGTTTTGGTCTATATTGATTGTAATGCATATGAAGTACAGGTGTCGTGAAGCCGTCGAGTGTACTTGTACCGGTTGATTGTGTTGTATTCGTACGCCGGTAGTGCGGGCGCGGGCCCGCAGTGCCGCGCCATGTGTGTACTAACGAGTTGTTGTTTTCCATTCCAGCGATAGACAGTAAACTGGCGCTCACTGAGCTTGACGACGACCTGCTGAAGTACTGAGGTGCCCCCCCCCCCCCGTGATGCCGTGGCGGACGAGCTATAAGGTCTTCTTCAGACATTAGATAACATTTTATAGTGATAGGCAAATTAAACACTAAAAATATTGCAATCTATATATAGTACCCATATTTTAAATATCAACCTCATAGATTGAATTTAATAAAATATCGCCGCCGCTAGCAAATATTTTGAATGTTCATTCAGAGGCCGATTACATTTTGAATAAAAATGTGTCACCAACAGAGCGATGCGTACAAAAGTATCTTGTTTAATATATAGAGTAGGACTTGTGATGAACAACCGTAATGATGTATAAGTACGAGTAGTAATCAAGTACTGTGTCATGTGACAAAGTTAGTCTGTATGGAGCTGTATGGCTGCGGGACGATGCTCATTATTGTAATAACGTCGGCTCAAGTTGATACGTTGGAAGCGATCTCATGGTCGTGTTGGCTTTAAATCATTTACAAAATTATAATTCTTTATGTGTTGTTGAACGCGGATCAGAAGACCGCACAAAATGTATTTGAGTTTGAAATCTAAGAGATTCAATTTTAAGTTAGAATTTACGTAATACTATTTAATATATTTTATAATGTGTAGATAATTAAGTTCTCTCGTTTTTTATTCACTTACCGTACTTGAAGTGACGTACGTGATAAGACGGAGGCGACGCACGAGGTCTTGCATTTATATTAGATATCGTAGAGTACAGTCCGCGCCGTGCCGGCCCGATACTCAACGCTCCCCGGCCGGCACGCCGCCGCCGCATGTATTGTGTAGCGTAAGGACGCCAAATATTCGCGTTTCTAAGTCTGCGTATTAATTCGTTTGTATCTTTGTGCTAGATAGTATTTACGAACACTTTTTCTATTCACTTTTGTAAGTTCGGACATTCGAAGAGATTGCGCCGCCATCGTAATGTCCTAATGTCCTAGTGTAATTTTGTGATTATTCGACATTTATTATATTTTATTGATAAACTTTGTATTCGAGATGTTAAGTAGTCGACTTGTTTATAGTTATTGTGTCATATCGTAAGTAAGTGCCGTGTAGTGAGAGAGAGCAAGCAGAGCCGCGGTGCCGGCCACTGCGCGAGTCAAACGAAGGGATCATCGACTATACGTCAACTCCCGCTCACTTTATTGTAGAACTCTTCCTTTTGGAACGACACTTGTGCCAATGTATACAAGTGTTTATGTTGTGCCGCTGCTCAAACTAGTGTCGAGAGGCCGCGAGATTATTTAGCCATTTTATATTGATTTACTGAGTCTCTGCGTACTGGATAGTCCTAGTGAATGTTAAGTTAAGCTAGATCTAATGTAATTCCAATGTAATCTTTAAACAAATAATAGTAGTGCAACCAAAAAGTAAGGTTTTGTAAGAAAGCGCCACAGTAAGCGATGGCTGTGCGAGTGATGCGACTGAGACGACCGATGCGACTGCATCAAGGAATGTAACGACGAATGTAAAATAAACATTTAATTATCCTAAGCTCGCAGTTTTACTTTATCTTGTCCTTCTACACAAAAGCACCTATGTTTCGCCTTGGGAACCTGAAGAATACCTTACTTAGCCTGGGAATGAAATCCGAACCTTCAGCAAGACAATGACCAAGGAGAAAATCAGTATTAAGTTACTTGTAACATTATTGTTACCTTCGCTGTTCAGCCGGTGTGCGGTGGTTGACTTCCTCAGAGTATGTCCGTCGGTCTCGAACAGACCCAAGTAACCAACCTCTGCCAGCGTATCAATGCATAACGGACAGAAGCCGGATACAGAAGGAAACAATGTGATAAAATAACCAACACGTTTATTTGACTGCGTCCGCTGAGACTGTCAACACTTAGGCTACTTAACAATAACTAGGCTAGTATAAATACATAGGTATAGCTAATAAATACTGTCTCGTGTGTCAAGGTACTGCGGAGATCTGAGAGATGTCGGCTCGCTGAGCGTTCTGTGGACAAAATGTTCAGTTAGACGTCGGGCTATAGCTTTATGTAGGCGATATGTCCACCGAGTAGAGTGCATACGGACACGTGATCTGCCGCGGGTCGTGGCGGCGCAGCAAGGAGTCGAGCTGCGCGCGGCCCGCGCAGTGCAGGAACTCGCGCGGCCGCACGCCGCGGAACACCTCGGCGATGGACGGCTTCACGTTGTAGAATATTATCGTCTGGCCGCGCGCGTGGAAGTCGTCGATCAGCGCCTTGATGCCCTGCACATAGTGGTATACATGGTAAGCTTGGTTCACTAACGTTAGGCACACGTTCTACACCATGTTGCGAGTCACATAGCTAGGTTACATTTTACCCATGAAAAGACAAGAGTCATACCTTGGCAGCGGTGAAGTCAGCAGCCTGTACATGTGTAGCATCCAGTACGAGCGGAGTGCGCGTGTGGTGTCGCTCGGCCGCCTTGCGGAGCGCGCGCCGCACGAACTCCGCCGACGGGAACGATAGCGACCGGTCCACCACCGCAACCAGGTGCGGCACGCCGTCACTCGACTGTAACACACACACACACACTGTCACTATAGCGACCGGTCCACCACCGCAACCAGGTGCGGCACGCCGTCACTCGACTGTAACACACACACACACACTGTCACTATAGCGACCGGTCCACCACCGCAACCAGGTGCGGCACGCCGTCACTCGACTGTAACACACACACACACACACTGTCACTATAGCGACCGGTCCACCACCGCAACCAGGTGCGGCACGCCGTCACTCGACTGTAACACACACACACACACACACTGTCACTACAGCGACCGGTCCACCACCGCAACCAGGTGCGGCACGCCGTCACTCGACTGTAACACACACACACACACACTGTCACTACAGCGACCGGTCCACCACCGCAACCAGGTGCGGCACGCCGTCACTCGACTGTAACACACACACACACACACTGTCACTACAGCGACCGGTCCACCACCGCAACCAGGTGCGGCACGCCGTCACTCGACTGTAACACACACACACACACACACTGTCACTACAGCGACCGGTCCACCACCGCAACCAGGTGCGGCACGCCGTCACTCGACTGTAACACACACACACACACACTGTCACTACAGCGACCGGTCCACCACCGCAACCAGGTGCGGCACGCCGTCACTCGACTGTAACACACACACACACACACACACTGTCACTACAGCGACCGGTCCACCACCGCAACCAGGTGCGGCACGCCGTCACTCGACTGTAACACACACACACACACACACTGTCACTACAGCGACCGGTCCACCACCGCAACCAGGTGACTGTAACACGCACACACACACACTGTCTGCTCTCTACTTACCACGGCCGTGGTGACCTTGACAGAAGGTCGCGCGGATGCGTACAGCAGGAACACGAGGTTCACTGCGATACCGATCACGATGCCCAGCTCCAGTCGTAGCATGAGACACGTCACAAACGTCACCACCGCAGGGATTAGATCCAACTCTGTTGATGAATAACAATAAATAAAGCGATGCAGTGTGCGCTGAATTTGTAATGTATTATGTGATATCTAAGTAAAATAGTTACTGACTTTTAGTTCTCCAAATGGGTTTAAAGACATGCAGCTCCATCATGAAGACAACCGCGGCAATGATGACGGCAGCCAGTGAAGCTTTCGGGATGTAGTAGAAGTACGGCGTAAAGTACTGCGAACACACGGACACACGTTAGCACGCGGGGGACTACAGTAACACGGGGCTGCGTGCAGGACGCTGGGCATGCACTCCGTACCTGCAGCGACAGTAGCACGAGGGCGCCGGTGTACAGGCCGCCGGCCGTGGTGGCGACGCCGCTGGCGTGGTTGACGGCGCCGCGGGACAGCGCGCCCGACACCGGCATGGAGTGCACCAGCGACGACACCATGTTGCACACGCCCAGCGCCACCATCTCCTGCGTCGCGTCCACGTACTTGCCCTCCGCTACGCAAAACACGCTACATTTAGCTAAGTGGTGCACATGAAATATCCCAGTATTGAAATTTTAAGTAACTTAATATTTGTGTGAGTATCGTAGATCTGAGAATCTCACCATTATATGAGACTTCTAACATAGCTGGTGAAAACTGGGTGCACATTACAATAATATGCTCCTCCGAGTCCGCCAATCCATCGGCATAAACATTTTAGCAGCAAATAGAAGCGGGAACGTATAACATTTCATAAAGTAAGTGCAACTCACAGAAAACTTTAGCGAGAGCGATGTTCTCGAGGATGGACAAGAGTGGCACGACGAATATCGCGGAGCCAAGAGTGGACGCCATCTCTGAGAAGGTATAGGTGTGGTTGCCCACCGTCGCAGAGAATGGCGGCGCTGACAGCTCAGGCAGGCCGGGCTTCACCTCGCCTGCAACAACATACCACTTATGTCAACAGATGACTCTAGACTACCGCAAAACAACAAGCACTGTCTATTCATTAATATTGTTAAAAATATACTGAAGTCGACCCCGGATTAACCCGAGCTAGCACTAGTGGCAACTTGATGTCTAGACAGACCTGTGAGCACGAAGGGCGCCTTCCTCTGCGTGTCGAAGTAGTACGCGAGCGCCGCGCACACGAGCACGACGAGAATGTTGCGCGTGGTGGACAGGAACCACAGCGCATGCGCCGCCGCGCGCCGCGCCCGCGACTGGGACGTGTCCGACCCCGCGTCGCCGCACTCCGGGTCCGGCTTGGGGTTCACTTTTATGTCCTTTACTTTCTGTAACATGTACACAGATCATACCATATATTGTGTATAACGATTGCGAATTCAAAGATTTCCTTTTTTTGTAATACAAATATACCTCTTTCTAATAGCTGCAACTCTTGGAGGATATAAGTACAATAACAACTAACTAAAAGAAGTACTGAAACAATGAAATTCAGTATCAGGGAAACAGCTCGATACATACTTTCCATTTCTTACCGCTTTATCACTTGCTGATGAACATGTTCTGTAGAGCTAATATCACATGCCGGTGTGGAGCGAAGATAGACTCATTTAGAAGGACGTGAACAGAGACAGCGTACTTACCCTGAGCAGTAGCAGCACGATGATGCAGGAGATGCCGAGCACAGAGTCCCACAGCCGCGTCTCCCCGATGTGCTCGTACAGCCCCGTCCACACCTGCAACACGTCACCGTCCTCACTTGACATATTGGATACGTACTTCGTGTATTAAGTGTTTAACTCAGTATAATATCATTTATTTACAAGATAAAGACCCGCAGCCTGCATGTGAAGGTCGATAGAAAGTGTTGCGGTGCTGTCGGCTCGACACGCGCAAAAAATAGAATGATGTAGACAAAAACTGATTCTAATTATTTATTAACAAAACAAACTTATTGGCAATTTCTTAAGGTACATAAATGACTACTAAATAATAATCAAAGCATTACATAGCAAATTTCAATTGTGTACCTGCGTAATAGATATTGTATGTGTACCAGTACAACTACAATCCGTATATTCAACTTAGTAAGTATGAACAGACGCCAAGACACCAGTCTACTCGGAACTTTAAACATTTTCTTCATTATTTTGTTAGTATCAGTGCTGACGCTAGCTATGTACTACATCTCTGTATTTCAGTTGGCAATTGAGTGATATTATCAATGTAATGTATGAAAATAAGGGTTAACCTGCAAAAACTTGCCCCCGGGGAAGCTGAGGCCGAGGATGTCCTTGACCTGCGTGGTGGCGATGATGATAGCGGCAGCCGACGTGAACCCCACCGACACCGGCCCGCTTATGAAGTCTATTAGGAAACCTAAAACACATACACAAACAGTTGTATAAGAGACGCCTTTTACACATTGCATTCAATTCTTTAAGGACTCTTCGTAAAGCTAATAAGTCTATGAGCAGAGCCACTAATAAAAGTGTAGGGAATGAGTTTATAAAAAACGCGGGTAGTCGTACGTGTAAAATTCTCGCAAAATTCTTAATCCCGATGTGCAAAACTGGCACTTGGCACACACAATTAGGTGCGAAGGCAGCAGGTACTTTAGTTCCACTTGCAAATATTCGAGACTCAAGGACTCAGTGTAGTGAGACGCTAGAGACTGCTTCACGCATCGTGTTAAACACCAACATTTCAGCAATGCATATCTAAATAGTTAATTAAGTGTTAAGTTTAAGGATATGTTATGTTACACTGATCTGTTTATGGTTTATTAGGTACATATAATTATTTGTATAGCAATTGGACAAAGACAGAGAACCTTGACTACATACACAATGATTGAGACAAAACAGTTAGGAATATTACTGGGCCAGATTACTGAATATTTAAGACAATCATTATTTGAAATAACTTTCAACGCAATTTGAACGATTTGACGTAAATTAATGTAAATACATACATATTAGTGTTTAGAAGCAAAATAAGTGTCAGATATCACATCAGTATCTGTCGAACGAGACGTGAATAACAATGAAACGTTAGCAGTCTGTTTACTATTTAGCTAATTAACAACAAAATGACGACAACGAAGCCACGCGTCACGCGTCACAGTGTATTGTTGAATTGTGTTCAATTGTTGCGCTTGCGACTACAAACACCGAAAATAATGCATCTCATTGCAAGTCGAGGCGGTTGTCGGTCACCGCCTCCGCTATGCTGTTCGATGCTGTTCGAGCTTCGTCTCGACTCTTGTCTAAATGTTCAGCAGGAACTTGACAATTTATCTACCGAAGTTTGTTTTTTTTAAAGTTACGAGTGCACGGTTGGCCGAGCCGCTGGGTTAAAATGTTTAGGTATGTTTGTAAAAGTCACATCACACCCGTTAGGAGATCCTCGTAAATAATGCTTACAAGGCCATTTTCCTACGTATAAAAAGAAAGCAATGCGTGAGTGACTCACCGAGCTGCAGTATCCCCATGAGAAGCTCGACGCAGCCAGACAGGAAGGCGAGGAGCACGGCGAACTCCGGGCCCAGGCCGTGCAGATTCTCTCTCGTCAATATGGCGGCGATGGCCGTGGGCCCGATGGCGGAGTCCTTCACTGAGCCGAACACCGTGTACACGAAGCACGCCATGAACGAGGAGTAGAGCCCGTACTGTGGCGGCAGCCCTGCCACGCCCGCGTACGCTATCGCCTGCGGGATCACCGTCAGACCTACAGTGATACCTGCCAACATAACCACACCAGCTTAGACTAACCCCCTAAACTCTGGAGAGGTATGTAGAGGTGTAGTGTGTACATTTTAAATGGAACACCTATTTTCACCAGTTGAAAGTCTCGCGACCACATAAACAAGATATTGTTATTATTCAATTAGATAATGATTAAATATATTTTTAATCTAGGCCATAGTCAAATACGGGGCACTGTAGGTACACAGCTACGCCAACCGCTCAGACCTATGCTGCTACGCCGCTGCTACGCTACTGGCTACGCTACGCTACGGGCTAACGCTACGCTACGAGACTACGAAATTATTTTGTGCGACTGCAGAACATAATTATGTATATTATTATTAATTATTTGGTTTTGTAACTTTAAGACGAAGAGTAAATCTAAATATGTATCAATATAACACGTTCTATTACATCTACAAATAATAATTTCTTCTGAATTCATTAAATAAAGGACATTACAATTTAGATGAGCTAAGTGATTCTCTGGCGCGTGACATTTAATTTATTCAAGTTTTTCAGGTGACGAGCTTCGTCACAGATAAATTAGATCGAAGTAGTTTTTATATCCAGCGAACAATTGCAATGTCGACGAAAGTGGGTAATTGTCGCGTCGTAAAAACATTGACCTAATGATAAAGTATTTAAATACATTAATTATAAAACCAAGGCTCCCGGTGAAGGGATCCTGAAGCGCTCGCTGTCAGAGACAATACTCACCGGATGACTCGCTACCTACCTGCGCTGCTACATTGCTGCTGAACATTATCATTTTTAATTTCTTTACTTTATTAGCACATTACTGTATGACTTCAGCCACAGATATAATAAAGAATAATATTTCTGTGACATCAGCGAACACATGGTACACAACAAAGTAAGTGTTTCCCTTAGTTCGCAAACAAGTTTGATTCGTTTATCAGGACTCATATTTCTTTCTTTCTTCCTATAAAAGTTGTCATAACTTCACGCCTTTAAGCCCCGACAGGGTGGGTGGAGGGGCACATTACGGCACTTAATGCCCTGTACATTGTAACACCTACTTTTCACTATCTAAATCATGAGTCGCATGTAATAGGGGTACATTTTCAGACACCGTGCTACTACTGAGATGTTTTAAAAAACCCAACAATACTTTGGCCGACCCGGGAATCAAACCTGAACCCCTAGCCGCAATTGCGACCGCTCGGCAAACGAGGCAGTCTTAAATATATAAGTTGTAAATAATATATGGCAATAGGTTCACCCCCTATTATATGGGTGAAAAGTGGGTGTTACACTGTACAGTGGCAGTAAGTGCCGTAATGGCACTTACTGCCACTGTACAGTGGCGTGCTGTTAAGTGTAGATAATATAATTAGTGTTAGGCAAGTATTAATTGCATTGCATAAGAAAATGTAAATAAACCGATTAAACTATGGAAACACTGTCATGGCGGCTGCTGGCTGCTAGTCAATGGTAACTAACTAGTCGGTATCTCAATAATGATTCAATTAATTATAATAACTTTGTGTACTGCAGTTATTGGTTTAGCTAACACTGCTATTACGGTAGACGACTAATTTTTATTTTAATGTCCGTCTGGTAGATTATTTAAAAACATTAGACACGTATTTTTTATTTTCTCACAGAAACGAATAGTTTCGAAGATATATTGATTTGAAATGTCGCGTGACGTCACTTCTCAGTACATTTTATACTAAGAAATGACGTTTTAGCCCCCACTCCTAAACTTTGATTCGTTTTATCTAAGTATTGTTTTATTATACGACAAAATAAAAAAATACGTGTCTAATATTTTTTCATTACCTAAGTTACGGACTAATTATATTTTTAATTTTCATACCCTGTCATCATCCCCATTACATAATAGTTCGGTAATAGGGAAGAAAAAAAAACCGATTTATCGACTGATCATTCATTCTTTATACTTTATAATTTATTGAAGTTGTGACTGTGTAAGGGCTACATGTTAATTCGCACTAATTGACTTGAGCACTACATCGTGTCGGTATATTTTTTTTGCACTGCTAGGCTGTGCGGCCGACTGACGAAACTAGTCTAGATTTAAATGAAAAGAAATCGGCCATTGTGGCCGTACTGGTTGCGACACACTGCATCGCTACACAAAGCCTGTGACGACACGCTCCATTACACGCTCCAACGGGCCTTAATACATCTGCTCTTAAAACACTTTTTGCACCTTAACACAAGGACGTAAAGTTCATAGTACCTTGTTTTTTCAAGATATTGCATCGAATTCCTGCGATAATAGTGCGATTTTTAAATAATATAATTGAGGTCAATGCACTCGGCTTGATTGTTCGCTGCCTGTATTTGTAACGGTGTTTTCCTTAATGTAACAAGGATAGTCTCCACGTAACATAAAGTCAATAAAATGTGCAATAAAATGCGTTACAAATATTTATATTTTATGGAATATTGTGAAAACATACGTACCTATAGTATGGGACTTATACTAAATTGGTGCATAGCATAATACTTAGAAATACATCCATTGGATATCTAAGGTATCTAATATGCGATAGAATAACTAGTTTAAGTCTGTAAATAAGTCTCGTGTTACACCATAGTTCGTGCATGTCCTTACACATCGTGTTACTGACGCATGCGCGCTGTGATTACTGTGGTACTACAGTATGACAGATTGACAGCTAAGCACTAAACTGAGGACGGCACGCGACGCCAGCACAGACGGACAGACATTATGCCGATATTACTAGCATCACCTGCCAGACTACAATGCACCTTGTGACAGTTTAAATATACTATAATTATGTCGATAATGGCATGGCTGCCGTTTAGAGGTTTGTGTGTTTGCCAGTAAGTTGAAGTCATCGACCGTAACGAATGTGACAGCCGCACATGCAACGTGTGCCAGGTAATTTGTTCGTTCATTAAATTATGCAAACTTTAAACCAAGGACGGATATCAAGTTAGTTTATTATAATCCATTGGCTTCGGATAGTTTTGGTTCCGATTAGATTTTTGCCAAACAACAAATCTCGTGCAACTCCTGCACATAGCAGTCATTGTTATTCGAACCATCAACATCGGTCTCGGTTTCGGTTAAACATAGTTTTTAATTCCATACATTCGATATTTTCGGATACGAAGTATTCCTTTAAGTAGGTAAGTAGTAACTTAATTGTAGCGATAGGACCGAACTCTTCTGTATATACCTCCTACAAATGTTACCGATGCAGTTCCTGGGGTTTATTTCAGTGGTCATATGATGACGTTCCACTATAAACTCTGTAATTACTATAAATCTAGTAGCGACCAGTTTCGGCGACTCCAATATAATATAGTCGCGTTGGGTGTAATCGCGTTGTTTCCGACTTAACACAATTTCACACGGCCACACAATGCGCATAATGAAATCGCAACTCAAGCGCATCGCCTTACATACTTTGTACTTTTTATGCAGTTTAAGATTGCGTTTCAGGCAATTGTTGAGATGGTGAGATGTTCGCTGAAACGTTTCATGAAACATTGAGCCATGTGGAATGCCCGCTATTTTGTGCATCCTATGTTTTAATATTACAAGACAGTACATGCCTAGTATATGACAATAGACTTGCCAGACCCACCCAGTCAGCCAGCAGCCACACTAGCTACCGAGGGAGAGCAGATTCTTTCCGAGATGAGTTCGAGTGCCACCTGTAAGTTTATGATGAAAGTAGTGTGGGTTGCTTACCAGCGATAATGTCAGCGAGGCCGTTCCTGGGCGTGTACTTGGGCAGCCATTGCAGGATGGGCAGGCGGCGCAGCAGCGTCTTGGTGGAGCAGCAGGCGCGCGCGCGCCGCGCCGCGTCCCGCCGCCACCCGCCGCCGCCCGACTCTTTGTGTGGTAGCTCGCCGTTGTACGTGCCGTTTGTGTCTGCCCAACAATTACACACAATGTTTCATTACGAACAGGATTTATACCATTTATTGCAATACATACATAACTATGTATGTCGGTAAATATCATCGCGTGGTCAAATTAAATGCAACTAACAGCGTACTAAGGTAGCTAAAGGACATCAGAACATATTTTTATGCACCAATTCCTTATTTTTGATAATGGCACAGTTACAGTAACGTTACTCACATTATGTTAAAAGTAATAATACTATCAAGTAATGTTGTTGTGTTTACAGTCTTAATGTTATCTACGGGGAAGGAAGGGCCGGCTGTCAGAGGTACACAACTTGAGGCGCATGGTACACTGACCATGCTTGCGGTTTTAGATATTATAGGTACATTAATGTTATTGTTTTACCGTACACGTACCTACAAACTTATTTATAGTGGTGTTTAATTGGTAATATCTGACTATATGTTTCCTCATTTTGCTTAATTTTATCATAGTCTTAAATATTGAAACTGAAATTCTGAAGTATATTCAATCAATCTCTACATAATAAGTATTGCGTCTCTTACTTCCAGCCGTAGAATATGCATGTGTCGAATGTAAAGCTTTTAAGTAATCTGACACAGGTATTAGGTACACGAGACACGAGGAATAGGCACTAAGCGTGTTGGTAGCGCCTGACACATGATCAGCACTGTTAGTAGTGTATGGTAGTGTACTGCTTACTCACTGAAGATAGTATTGCATTGCATATGTGTTTAACTAGTAAATTGCAGGTAAAATTCATGTTTAACCGTCTTGCAAAATGTTTATGAAAAGAAAAGAATAAGTACGCAATTACGACGCAAGGAGGCTGGATTCACACAAATATCCGACTTAAGGATACGTATGGTATAATTTGTTATAAAATGTAGAAACCCGATATTATAAAATCGTTTCAGTTCAAGTATAATTGAGCTAAAAGTCTGAAAACTTAGAAAAATTTTGTAATGTGTTGTATAAAGTGGATCAGTAACAAAATCAAAGTCATTTATTTCAATTAATCCTTAATTAGGCAATTTTAAACGTCAATAATTGAATTGTCCGTCCGTCCGTCTGTCAGTGAAGCTAGACGCTCGTTCCAAAGTGTAGTTTCGAACGGAGAAGAACGAGAAAGAAGCTCCATCGTTACTCTTTTAAAAAAATGTTTTTTACAGTCTCATTGATATATTATCTGATCCTTTACGTATTATATATATTTGAGAACGATGTAACGACAATACACCGTCAGAAATTAATAGTACTAATCAACTCCTGAAATAAAAAGGTTTGAATACCGAGCTGGTTACTGTCTACTACTGACAACTGAGTTATACAACTTTAGATTAGATAAGCCAATCAACATTTAACGGTGAACTGTATCGAAGGTCACGGACCTCCAGATATCATCCGCAACCTGTGTGGTACGTGGTATCTAACCGGGATATTAACTCTAACTGACTACTGGCATACTTCAACACGTGGTTACCTACTGACGGGTTCGTCGGTCAAGTGGCGACTAAGTAAAGGATTTCAGGTACCTTCAGCTAAAGTGTTATTGATGTTTTAGTATTCATAATGTGAAGAAGGTAATGTGGCGTGGGGTCTAGGGCCCTGTATAGAAATTATTACCATAATAGGGTCATCTATTGTATAGAATGTTACACATTGAAGAAATTGGGTGAAGTATTCAGGGTGTCCCTGAAGTCGACGATCAAATGGCACCAGGTGATCGGTAAGGTCCTAAAAAATTCTAAGTCCTATATTTTTAAAATTACAATGACTTATGTGTTATTCTCGAAAAAGTACAGCCTGCGCCAGTCTTTTGACTCTTGTTGCTACAATTTTTTACTAATTCGACTGTAGTTTTGCTAACGTTCTCTTGAATAGTGCTCCAGTGTTATGATCGTTGACTTCAGGTACACCCTGTATAAGTTAACATAGTCAAGAGCGAGGTGAGATGGTGGGGAGCGTCAACCTATCAAGTATAAAGAAAGTATTGTAATTTGTATGATAAGGTTTGACCCACATGTTATTATGTGGATCACCATTCATCGGTTAACGTTACGGCTTTAAATTAATTGTGTGTAACTGGTTTTCTTTTCCTTTCCGATAACTCCAGCTACTCTAATTGCGACACATTGACAAAATAATGAGTGGTTTGTTGTGTTTTTTGTTGGTGTTAAGAAATAGTATTTGTTACAGTCAAAACGCATATAAATATACCTAAGTACATATAACAAAAAGTTTACAGAAATTAAAGTTATTCTCAAATGTATTGAAACAAAAAATATTACTCAATTGTATTGTACAACTCACTATTATCTAATTGTAGGTATTAATTAATTTTTATGTGACTCCTATTTATTCCGCGATTACATGGAACTACACGCGGTACAGTGACCCCGTGAACTCCGAGTTTGATTAATAGGCATTGAAGCAGCAACTTGATTGTAATTAATATAAATTCGTTTAACTAATGGTAGGTAGGCTCTCAGCTGTACAAACGATTTATGCTTAATTAACATAATTATGTACGTAGGTATTTAAATAGCACATTATTGTAGTAGGTAAAATAATAAGTTTATTAATATAATCAGTATGATGTACTATATTTGTACAGGTGTGTGTTACAAAAGGTTTGTGTGGAAATTGCCGCAGTGCCAGAGCAATGTTTTGCAACGTTTTCTAGTCAGATATATTTTCTTGACCCTATAACTAACAAATTGTCACATTGTTTCCCAACAGTCCGGTACTGCCGGTGTCCGCAACGTTACCGCACGTAGCGACACTGGGCGGCGCAGGCGGCCATTTCTTGTAAAATCCGAACAAGTGACATTTATATTATTATTGGTAACTAAGTCACGAACAGTCGACGACACCAACGTTATTACTAAAACATTAAATTATCTGCTGAAAGAAACAAATTAATAACTTTTCTAAGAAAAATCAAATAAAAAGTTACTTTATGTGATAAATTATGTCGCAGCTGTATTGTCTAATCATTATGTGGTTTGTTAGTTGTTGGGGTCACAACCTTAATGCGTGATTTCCACGAAGTATGACGCATGATGGACAGGTCTCATGTTACATTGCATAACAATAGCAATGTAATTGGGTTATACCTGCGAATACTGCAGCCACAGCTATCGTAGTTTATCATCGAGAAATTCGATAAATAAGCTAGTCTGTCCTTACTGCAGTGGTTGGCAAACTTTCTTCATAAGATATCAAAAACTATAAGAAACTACAGACCTCAAAAATGTCCTTCGTTGGTCTACTTTTTACTGGAGCACTCTCACATTATTGAGAGCAGGACATTATTATTTCAAATCGCCGATAGATTTCGATGACTAGGTTTTAAATCCTTTCGCGAACGTGTGATAACCATAACATAGGTCAGTTTACTGATCCATGTCCATATTGTCCATCTTGTGTGAATGCCATAAGTTTCCATTATGACCCCATAAAAGAGCCAGTGTGACTCAGTCGTGGCATGCGATGCGGTGGAATGTTTTAGATCTAGTTGGTTTGTGCCACCTGAACATTGTGCCGTGCATTGTGCACAAAATAAACATGTGTAACAAATCCTCTGTGAGGGTTAAACATAACAGATTGTAGTGTGACATAGCATGGTACTGTCTAGTTTCAAAGTTAAAACAATTTTTACACTCACCCATGTCTTGTATGAAGGTTTTTTATAAAAAATTATGCACAGAATTAGTGTTAAGTATTACGATTGTCACATAGTATAAGTAAGGTACTTGATCTGATCTCTTTCAAAAATATGCATTGGCATCGATAATGTACAGTGTTAATGAGTTTAATAAAAACTAAAGAGCATTGTCGTGTCGCCTGTCAATTTGTGACTGACTGTGACTTTTTATCCTAGACTTTGTTTAAAAGGTAGCTCTGTGCCTGATTCAAATGTAGGTAATTATGATGGCCGTTTAGCGCGGGATAAACACAATAAATGTTATTATAATGAGACTCAGATAGCTATCACGGAATCACGTCCAACACGAACTGTCTGATAATCGTGATCACTGACTGGTCGACGACTGAGGTCTTTGCAAATGCCAAGTGTGGATGAATTTAGCAATTTTTTCTAATACACCTTACTTAAGGCTCTCGAGAATTTCTTTCGCGTATGTGCGAGCTACATTTCCAAAGCTAATGTCTATTCGAAAATGATAAAAAAAGTTGAATAAGTGAAAAGTAAGAGCTTGGCAGTTACCCTTGTCAAGAATTGAACAAACTAAACAAACCTCCAGTTTCTCCTCAACAGATCCTGTTATGCATGATTGGCCGACGCGAGCGGCGCGCGCGCAACCGGATGCTTCAGCCTATTGTCAACATTTGCTTTGTTCAGCTACACAATATGGTTCGGAAGTAATTGCGTTGCGTTTGCGCAAATCAACAGCTCCCAGCTTTTGTAAACCAGTGCAAACCACATGAGCCCTGCTTTGAGTAGCTAACACTACACAGGCATCAAGCTATTCCAATTTCTTTAATTGGTTTTCATCCTTATGCTGCTACGAAATAAAGTTGAAAGTGTAGTGTCTGTACAGCTGGTGACTTTACTCAGATTATACACTGAAAAGTTTTTAATCGAGCTAATTAAATTGTTGTATTTAATAGGAGTTTTATTGGTTTTCTAACCTAACATTCCGTTACAACGCGTGTGTGTAGTGTACCTACTGCTACAAAATTCGATTTATTAAACAAACTAAAAGTCTGTTCAATATACAACAAATGAGAAATACACTGATGCAGTGTACTGAGGTTTGTGTCCCAGTAAAGGGTTGATTGAATGCTTCCTTATAGCCGTGTCAACGATATCATAAAGATAAAAAGTAAAACATCAACTGCACGAATTAATTTAAATCAGAAACTGAGTGTGAGCGGGCAGGTAACTAGTTTATTACAGGTTTTAATTAGGTATATAAAGTCCACATTATACTAGTTACACATTGTACCTCTATACCTAGGCACTTAATAATGTC